TATTTAGCTGTTCTACTTTTGTTTGTGTTAGTTTAGGTAGGTAGTGAGTTTCTGGAAATTTGTCCATTTCCTCTAGGTTTTCAAATTTGTTAGAAAATTTTTCATAGTATTTTGTTATTATTCTTTTAATATCAGTTGGGTCTGCTGTGGTATCAGTCATCTCATTTCTTAAACAGGTTATTTGCTTCCTCTCCTGTTTTTTTTGTCAGTTTTGCCAATGGTTTATCAATTTTGTTGATCTTTTCTAAGAACCAGCTTTTGGTCTTGTTAACTCTTTCAATTGTTTCTCTACTCTCTATTTCATTTAATTCTGCTCTAATCCTTATTATTTCCTTTCTTCTGGCATCTGAGGGCTTCTTTTGCTGCTCTTTCTACTTGTTCCAGTTGCAGTGTTAATGTTTTGATTTTGGCCTTTTCTTTTTTTTGGATGTGTGCATTTATTGCTATAAACTGACCTCTGAGCACTGCTTTTGCTGTGACACATATTTTTGAGGGACACAATTCAATCAGTCCACAACAGCTGCCAACCCAGAAATTTCCCCCACCCTTCTTCCATCTGGTGGCACAGTCATTAAGACCTAAGGATGCTAACAAAAAGGTCAGCAGTTCAAATCCACCAGCTGCTCCTTAGAAACCCTATGAGGCAGTTCTACTCTGTCCTATAGAGTGGCTATGAGTTGGAATCAACTCAGTGGCAATGGGGTTTGGCTTTTTGGTTTTTTTGTTCTTCCATCTTAGGAAATGCCATATCCCACACAACAGTGGCTGAAAAATTCCACTCTTTCACTTTTTCAGCCTCCCTCACAGCTGGCAGTGGCATGAAATCAGTTCTACCCAATGAGACTAAAGGGGAAGTCTCCAAGGTGAGAGTCTGGAAAAAGCTTTTCTCCCGCAAAGCCTCTGGAAAAGAGGGAGTTGCAATGAAATAAGCCTCGTTCACTCCCTGCTCTCTTATTTTAGCATGATGTCTGGTGCTGCAGCAACCATAATGCAAACATGAGGCAAGTCCTGAGGATTAAAGCCAAAATACTTAGAAGAAGAAAAGTATGGAAAAAAACCTAAGTTTTTATTGTCATAATTAAGCCATTGCACCAGGTTAGAATCAACTATCTCTATACTTCTTGCTACTGGACAAAAATAAGCCCTGTTATTTAAACCAAGGAGCCCTGGTGGCACAATGGTTAAGTGCTCAGCTGCTAACCAAAAGGTCAGCAGTTCAAACCCACCAGCTGCTCCATGGGAGAAAAGGCCTGGCAGTGTGCTCCTGTAAAGATTACAGCCAAGAAAATCCTACAGGGCAGTTCTACTCTGTCATATAGGGTCGCTATGAGTCGGAATCAACTCAACAGTAAACAATTATTTAAACCATTTTTAGTTGAATATTGTCACTTGCCAAAGGCATCCTAAATACACTATGGAGGTCATGACATCAGTTTCTTATCTGTAGGTTTTTATACCACTGAGTTAGCAGGATTATTATTATTGAGATGAAAATAATACAAATGTATTTATAGTCAGGAAGAAGGCAACAAGGTAATAAAAGCTGCTGGGAGCAGCCAAAGATAAAAAAAGAAAGGAGAGAATGATAAAGTGCAAAATAATCATGATTAAGTGCTAAGTAGGGATACTTCTTGGAGACAGCAACAAAGAAAAGGATAGGTATACAGAAGTTCTCTAGGTTAAAAAATCATAGGAGAATTTCTTTACTGGCAATGTTATAGAGACGATAACCTAAAAATCATTCCCAATATAAAATACTCAGAAATTCTGAGTAAAAGGTAAAAAACATCCGTTTAAATGCATAGCTTAGTTCACAACAATACGGGAACTCTCTAAAGACCAAAAATTAAAGAGGAACCTAAAAACCAGAGCAGAAAGTGTAACCTGGTATTGTATAGCAGCCTAGGGCTTGGGATGGGGGTGGGGAAACTGTGTATATGTAAAAGGCACCTGCCCTTTGAAATGTTTAAGAGAAAAAATAAAAGGAAAAGATATGACTGGCCTCATATTTTCTTTAAAAACATCCTGAAGACAATTATAGCTTTTATATATTTTTAAATCAAATTATTTCAACTACCCTTTGGAAAAGCAAATTCCAGGATTAAATGGAAATTTTTTTAAATGTCCACATTACATACTTACATATTACAAAGGGTTTCCTGGATATTTTACCACAAGCTAAGTAAAATATGACAGATATAAATCTTTTCCCCAAATCACCACACATTGCCCAATTTTTTCAACAATTATGAAAAGAACCACTATACAGTCAAGTATTCAGTTGAGTATATTATAACCATACCCAAAAGGTTTCCAAATTTTAGCTCTTCTTGATAAAATTTTTATCTTTAGGTTAGTGACTATGCTAGCAATAGTTTCATAATTCCTCATATATCACATGAAACTAACCTTATGGCCTTCTGCTTTACAGATTTCGGAGTCATCGCATATAACCCGTAAAGCGAAAGATGACGGATGCAATGTTTGGAAGAGTCTATAGACTGATACAAAGGTTTCTAACATTAAAGACGCATAGAGAATTACAGCCTGTAGTTTGTAACAAAACAAAAATCTCTTAAGGTCTGCTTTTTAAACAGTTTGCTTTCCTTTAGTCTAAACTGCTTCCCACGCTTTACTGAAAACTGAAAATAACGTATATATTCCCTTCACTCACCCTCACATTTTTTACGCTGGCTTTATAAATGGGGCAAATATCCACCCCAAATTCCATTAAACTGCCTCCATCACTCACTTCAAGACCATCTTCTTTCAAAAAGTCCCCTTACTCTTGGGACAATCCAAACAACCCAAGAAATACAAACACATAGAGTTTACATTATCTTCACAAGCGTTACATTTCTCTCCACTGCCTTTCCAGATTTATATGAGACTGAATCTTCTAAAAAAGTGCCTTGCACACACTGGATGCCACAACAAATACATGATCCTAAACGCTGCTTTGCCGGGTGGGTGTCAAAAATGGCTAAGCACTTGACTACTAGCAAAGGTTCGTGGTTCCAACCCACCCAGAGGCACCGCGGAAGACAGGCCTGGTGATCTGATTTTCAAAGGTCACAGCCTTGAAAACCCTATGGAGCAGTTCTACTCATGGGGTCGCCATGAGTCAGAATCTCCACAGCAAGTAACAACAAATGCCGATTTAGATTACATTGCAACTTCCTTTCTACAACCTACGTGCGACATGACTGATTCAAGATAAGGCATTTATTCTACAAATTAGTCCATCAAATATAGAGGAAAACAATTAACTTGGAGATCAAGAACTCAAGAGTCAAAGGACAGCGCTTGCGCTTGGGTTCTCCTCCCCAGCTGATACAGGCAGAAGGTCAGGTGAATGGCTCAAGCCCCAGGGAACGGGAGCGCGCTACGGTCTGTTGGGGAATAAAGCAGGAGTTAGAGCGGAGAGGCTCCGAGGGGCGCGCTGCATTCTGGGACTCGTTTCCACAGTTACCCACGTGCACTCAACCCAACCGCAGCCTGGCGCGGACCGGACTACAAGTCCCAGAATTCAGCGAGACCGCCTTTCCCCTTCACAGCCGGCGACTACAGCCAGGCGCTAAAAGAAACCCCTAAAGCGCCCTCCTCGTGCTCCAAAGAGAGGTCGAGCCCCCCAGGCAATGCGTGGGGCCTCCGAGCAGCCCTCTCCCCGCAAGGAAGCGGGACCTGAGGCACCAGCCTCCACACCTGCCGGCCAGAAATTAGACAACTGCGTCACACACTCTGCCAAACCCACGGATGGCCAGGGATCCCTACACCTCCCCTGCGCAAACCCCCCACCTGGCCTCCCGGGTCAGTCCCCCGGTTCCCGCCGCGGAAAAACCGCAGCCCGCGCCCCTACCGCCCCGCCTCCCAGTTCCACAGCCCAAGCCCGCGCCAGCGCTGACCTCGCTTCCCGCCGCTCTGGGGAAACCGCGGCCAGCGCCAACGTCGGGGGACCTCCCCGCCCCCTACCTCAGCCCCGCCCTCTCCTCTCCTGGCACCCCGGAGCTGTGGGCTGCCTCCTCGTAGGACCCCGGTTTGATTGACGTGGGGGAGAGAGAACCTCCCACAAACAGAGAGCCCAACATCCCCCCAAACCCCGTGCTGGACCCAATCCGGACGTGACAGTCCTCCTGCTGCCCCAGACACTCCCACCCTCCTCCTCCTCCTCCCCCCCAACTAGCTCACCACCCCCATCGCATCTCCTGCCCTCATCCTGTCACCCCAAACTCTCCCCACTTTCTTCCTCTCCTCTTACTCTCAATTACCCTATCTTCCTAACACCTGCCCCATTTTATTACCCCAACATCTTCCCCCATTACCAACCTCTCGCCCGCCAGACTCCCCAACTGTCCCATCACACCCCAATTCCTCCCACATCTCGCTCTCCCGTTACCTCAGCCCTCATCCCCTTGCCTGCCCTCCTGCCCCGCTGGACCGCGGCCCCCGTTCCCCCACCCCATTGTTCCCCCCACTCCAGTCAGCCAGCCCTTCTTCCTATTGTCCCCGCCCCCGCGATCCCCTCGCACTCACCCGCCTTTCTCCGGGAGCCGCCAGCACTGCTCAACCCCTTGAAAACCCTCACCCCTGCGCCCCGCTCGTTCCTTCCCTCCCTCTCGCCGCCGGTACCACCTCCTGGCCCTGCCTGCAAGCGCCCGCCGCCGCCTCCACCTCCATTCACCCCGGACTCTCTCGGGTCCGGGCCCTTCATCACACGTCCCGCCCCCCCTTCCCCCAATACTTAAATGGAGCCAGTCCCCACCCCCTACACCTCCGCCCGCCCTTGGCAGGCCGTCCCCCTCCCCCACGCCCGCCCCCGCCCCGCGCCGCCCGCAGCGTCACTGCCCGCCCCGGCCCCGGGAGGGAAAGGGGTGGCTACGGGGCAGGGGCTCCCAGCATGGTTCGGGACAGGAGGCGCGGGGCGGGGACTGCGGGAACCTAGTGGGGAGTGTTAGCAGCCGCCCGGCCCGGCCCCGGCTTGCTCGCTCCCCGTTACTCACTGACAGCGGCGGCATCCGAGTGCATTTTCGGACAGCTCACACCCCGGTCACCGCCCAGGCTCCCGCGCTCGCTTCGGGGTCCCCCCACTGGCTCTCGGCACCTCACCTCGGAGCTGAGGACCCGCCGCCAGGCACTCCCGACACGCCCACCTCACCTTCTCCATTGGCTGAACTTCGGATGAGGGACCGCCCCTCCTCGTCTCTCATTTGACAATATGAGTGACTCTGGAAGGGGTCTGTAGCTGGCTAAGAGGCCCCGCCCCCTAAGGTCCAACGCGATTGGTTCTGGCGCCTCGTCCCCCCAACGCCCCTAGCGGAGACCACGATCTGGAGCAGCAGGTTGGACCCGGCTGCTGTCAGTCATCCCTGGGCCCGAAAGCGCGTGTAGGGGCGAGGCTGGGGAATTGGTCCACCTTGACCCTGAAGCCCCGCCCCGTCACGGGCTGGATTGGTGGAACTGGAGACTCACCAAGAAAGATGGGTGGGCGTCTGAAACAAAGCACGAGAAGGGTTCCCCGAAGAGCTGAGACAGGGGAGCGCACTTGGGGAAGCTTGTGCTTCCCCGGGGAACTCAACTCCTCCCTAGCTCCTGAGTCTACGCGTCCGGGTCTCCCACCACTTGTCTTGCATGCTTCAGAGCGGCTCTCTTCACAAACCCACTGCGCGCCGAACTTGGACTGGGACTTCTCGGTCAGCTGTTTCCTACAAGAACTGCCGCGTCTTCATTTCTAGCAAACCCGGTGGTGGGGAGCAAATTCCCATTTCTTGTACAACAATCCAGCGTCTCCTCGTTTTCAAAATGTACTTCTTTGCCAGAACTAACATCCTTTTATCAAATATGGGCTGTTCTACAGTGTTTGGAATGCAACACGCATACACATCTGTATGCCCCAAACAGCATACAGGAAATCCAGGGTCACGCTCTGACCTTGGGATCAGTCTGGCACGTCAGCAGTCCAGGGGTCAGGTGGCCAGCCTGCAAAGCGCAAGTAGTGTAAGACTGTCCAGAAATGAAACTCTCATTTGGCAAAAGAAGGCGTAAAATTAGGCAAATTCTTCTGACCCTGGAGTTTCCTAAATCGAGAATTCGCACCATTTTCTAGTTACCACCTCATTTTCTCAGTGGTTTGAAACCAACTCATTAGACTCACTATATTATGGTAGAGGAATAATATTTTAAGATATTAACGGACGATCTCCTTCCTCCCCACCCCCCATCATCTACAATCCCAGTGGCAACACACAGACACCACTTTCCTGTATCCCAAGGACCTTCTCCAGCCCTGCAGCCAAGACATTCCATCGATCTTACCTCAGAGAAGGAATGACATCGCAAACAGGTAACAAAACGATCAGTCATTTTGGTTTTAGATTCCTACAACCAAGGCTTTTGAATTTCAGGGTTCTGAAATTTAGGGTTCAAATCAGGGCATAAATGTTACGCCAAAAACTAGATACTTGCAAGAACAGGGGATCAGACAAGCCACTTCCTGTGCGCCATAACCAAAACCAAACCAAACCTGTTGCCCTTGAGTTGATTCTGACTCATAACGACCCCATAGGACAGAGTAGAACTGCCCCATAGGGTTTCCAAGGAGTGGCTGGTGGATTCAAACTGCCAACCTTTTGGTTAGCAG